ACTTGAAACATTCCATTGATCATTAACTGTATGGAAACCAGGAGAGAGCTTTAAGCCAGCTCTCACTCACTTGTGAGCCTGATTTGCCACATAAGGTGGTGGTAGTGCCCAATAACACTGCCACATTGAAATCTCAGCCCTCTAGGTATGACTTTATTCTCAGCAGTATAAGAGATAGAAAACAGCCACGAGCACTTTAATATTTCATCCTCAGGAAAAGACTTCTAGAATTTTACTTTATAAGGCTTTCTCTAGCCTCAGGTAAATGATCTAATTCATTTCCAGGGAGGAAGTGTATTTTTAAACCTTCCCTGCTGATGCTGCAGTTTGGTAGGGTGTGCTCGGTAGAATGGTTATTCTAAAACAAAAAAATAACCAGTGGTGCTGTTGAGGTGATGACAAATACTAGTCACTCATGTCTGCACTCAGAGCAACAGGGAAAGACCCCAGAAGCTCAGGAAAGAGGAGAAGTCTCCATCTCTGCTTACACACTCACTGGACGACTTCTTTGGTACACCAGTTTAATCCACTGGGTCCCACCAAGGCCTCCAAACTACAGGTAACTGCTCAGGCCAGCTTGTCTGCACTTGCAAATAAACCACGTTCACTTTTTCAGCTTCACCAATTCCAGCAGTACAGATAAATGTGAGCAACCCAAGAAGTTATGTGTACACAGCACAGAGTGAGCTCTTATAGCAGGTATGTGAGAAAATGAAACAACTCTTCAAGCTCTGCTACAATTCAAATACTTTAACACAAAAATATACTCAGACCATCAGAGATGGCAAAAGCTGTCCTGGGGACTAGTTTGGGCAAGGGCTTAGATTCAAAAGGCTTGAATTTTCTTAAAATAATGATCAACCAGTTCTCCAGCAAAGACAAGAACATTGAAGGTCTGTTTATTGTTTCCTTCGTCTCCTACAGTCTCATAAAGACTTCACACTGTAATCTTTGACTTGTTATGTCAGAGAAAATCCCACAGGCACAGAAATAAGAGACAATCGTATTCTGACCCCTTTTATGAGCACTGTGCCTCACCCACTTGGTTATTCACAGACGCAGCAGTGAGAACTACACCGCTCATCTCACCCGGCTCTTCCATTAGCTTTTGTAATGGCAAATTGCAGTGCCCCTCAGCTACAATAAATCCAGGCAGTTTTTCTTTTCAAGACAGGTACCTCAAAAATTGCAAGCCACAGATGTAAAGCAAACAAGGCAAAAAAAATTTACTTTTGGTTTAGCTTATGCTGATGTCATTCTAGAGACTTCACTTTTAGTTACTGGGCATTTGCACATTATAAGAGCAGAATCCATCTCCCAAGGACAGGTTTTGTTATAGTAAACTGGTTTTACTCCAGCTGGTCTATAAAGTCTTTCCCTTGGTATATTTACATGGCTATAAGCAAGTCAGAACATCTTTCAGAGATGTGAATTGCAGCCAGCAAAACCACAGCCTTAGGCTGATGCAGAAGTGGGTAGGGTTTTAAAACTTTCTGCAGCAGTTAGTGGTTAGGCACATAAAAGCACCCCACCCTCCTGCCCCAGGCAAGAGAGAATATGCAGACAGTGCAGAGTGTACCTCATGCATCAGGATACATCCCTTGGCTTTAAACAAGATCAACAGATTTCAGAAAATGAGAGAAGGGGTAACACATATGTGCGTTAAGACATGTTGACTAACATCCCAGATACTCAGTGCAATGTTTAGGGGGAAAAGGCCTGGTTGTTGTGCCCAGCAAACTGTTAAATCAAGTCTTGTGATGCTCCTGACACTCTGGAAGAGAAGGACCCATAAAGCACAAACTGGAGTTTCTAAACTCAAAGCAGTGTCCTTTACTATTACTTTCCATTTTGGCTTTGCCACTACAGATGATGCCCATAGGGGAATTAAAACATGTCATTGTCCTGAGAATGCTGATGTATCAGCCCCAGTGCTCTTCTGCTACCACAAGATAATTGAGAGGGTACATAGTATCTTCCAACTGTGCAGCCAAACTGGTGTACACTTGGAAGAAAAAATAATCTGATCACTAAAATGTCAACACTGAAATACCAAAGAAAATAACACCAAGGAGCACATTTTCCTTTTGGTTCCTTGGGGAAACTAGTTTTTCTGAAGGGAAGTGATATGTTCAGCAAATAGAGATCAATAATTTTATTGCCCAGTGCACAATTTCCTACACTTTTTTCAGTTATTTTGCTTACCCCAAACTATTCTGTCACAAGAGGAATCAAAGAAATCAAACAATAGCATTAGAATGCTTAATAAACACTGTATTGGAATGAATGTTCTACTATGCACATACTGGTGATCTTAGCTGAACAGCATGAGAAACACTCAGCAGAGTGCCATAAACATGCCAGAATCAATGACACATGGATAATCTCTTTTCCCCAAAAGAAACAGATGAGCAGTTTTTGAGAGGAAGGTTTCAGTCTGACTCTGGTTTGCCAATTGAAGAAAACATAATATCCATCACTAGTGTGTAGATTCTGCAATAGAAATACTGGATAGTCACTGGATAGTGCCTGATGGCACTGTAGTTCCCAGCTCTGTCGGGGGCTTCCAGCCAAGTGTTGGGTGAGCCATGTTTTTGCAGTACTGTGTAAACACCAGGTAAATTCACAGGTAAATGGAGTAAACACAACTAAACACTTAATACCAACCTGAACAAGACCTTTTCCTAGAGTCCTTGCCCATCAGTGAATACTGATAACAATATTTGCTTTCCTCTACTCCAGATGTAGCACACTAAACTCACACACCCAATGTGTGGCACCATTGCTCTGTACTCCCAATCCCAAACAATCTGTCATCTCACTTGGGTGGGGCATACGGGCGTTGCTCTAATTAAGGGCAATGATAATGCACAGGATGACTTCTTCATGTGTTATGTTCCTGTAAAATCTTACTGGAATCTCACCTGGCAAATGATCCAAAATCTCAAACTTGCTGTTTTTCTTGTGCAACTCATCTGTTAACATGTCTGTACAACAGAGCATGAGTAATTTAAAGTAGGGACCATCCTTGAGATTGAAGGAAATACCCTGTGAACTTGGGAGACATGCCATCACAAAGCTCCAGAGTATCTGAGATCCAGCCTTCTTTATAAATTTGCAGCAGAAGTTCTATTAGCACTTTTGCTGTTGCAATCAGGAGTCCATGTTTAACATATTTAAAAAAATAAAATATTTATGACACTAAATTAAAGGGCTAAAAAACAAACTCAAAACCCAAAAAAGAGGCAGATTTAAAAAATGCTTCCAAACTGCCTTAACACTTGGGGTATTGTTCAACGGGGTTTTTTTGGCACATGGTTACAAACCATAGTACAACACCACATAAGGTAAATTCCCACATTTGCTACGGAGAATATTATTTCTAAATCAATTTCACCCACAGATAAAATCTTATACAAGGTGTAACCTTAAGGCCTCAAGTTCTCAGATTTCCCAAAACAGCTTCTTGTAGTTGGGCTTTGAATGCTTTGATACCTTTTCCTGTAGGAAAGTAAAAGGGTGCTATCAACCCTGTCAAATCCTCCTTGAAGTGTGTGAATCTATGAAAACTCATGGTCAAAACCTCAGCAACTGCTAACATGTTATCACACCTACAACACTCAATGCTTACTCACCTCTCAGTTAAAGACACTCTCTGGTCTCAACAGACATAGGAGTTACACAAGGTGAAGAGAAAATAAAGTGTCCTCATCTGTAGCAGTGAGGACGAACCCGGCAGGAAATTAATGCAGTCCTGACACACAAGCCAAGGGCATGATCCAGGCATGTGGGTGCCTGTACCCCACGTGCAGCTCTCTGCACAGCTGTGTGAGGCATCGTGGCACAGCTCAGGGCCATTTGGCTGTGGGCAGTGTGGAGGAACCACTGGGACACCATCCCTAAGGGCTGGGAGCTGTCGTTGCTATGGCTTCCTCAGCTCATCCTGTCAGTCCTGACTGTTACGACTGAAAAACATTTTGTACAAATCAGTTTTGAGAAAAGTAAATCCACGTGGGGAAGCCAGGTGTGCAGCTGATAGAGACAGAAGATCACTCTTGCTTCAGCAGCACCTTTGAGTGTCAGGGAGCTCGCTAATCCTGAACTGCACAGCGCCGCCATAGCTGGGATTGCTCCTTGTCACGGTCACAATCTCCCTGTTTCTCCAGTCAAATTTCTTCATTTTCTCTTCTTTGCCACAACCATGACAATACTGCTCAGGTCACACATCTCCCAGTGAGTCCCTCAGTAACACTTTCTCCCCTTATGTGAGGAGACAGTTCCTGGGATAAAGGCTTTTGCAGCTTGAGCTGGAGAGCTGTAGTTCCATGGCTGTGACAAAAGGGCCTACTGTGCTATCCATGCTGAGCCAGAATCCCCCTCCTTGGCACAGGGACACTTCCAGGGACATTGTCTTATCGTCTTCAGCTAGGCCAGGGAAGGTTTAGGTTGGTCACTAGGAAAAATTTCTTCATAGAAATGGTGAGTGGAATTGGAACAGACTGCCCAAGGAGCTCCTGGAGTCACCACCCCTGGAAGTGTTTAAGACTGAACATGGCATTTGGTGCCATGGTCTAGTTGACATGGTGGTGCTGGGTCATGGGTTAGATTCGATGATCTTTTCATCCTAACTGATTTTGTGAGGTGACACCTGACCTCGGCCCAGACCCCAGATATGGATGGCGGGCCCACGCTGGCCTAAGAGACACAGCACCACCTGGCAAGCAAGCCCAGATGCAACAGGAAAGTCTACGAGGCCCCAGGGGACGCTCCGCGTTTCCCACTCGCGGGACCGGGATCGGGACAGGGACAGGGACAGGGACCGGGACCGCGCTCCCCCTCAGGCTCCGCGCCCGCCCCTCAGCCCCACAGCGCCTCCCGCCGCGCGCAGGCGCGAACAGCTCGCGCCGCCCGGGCACGCGCAGCGCGCAGGCGCGGGGCCGCCCCTGCCCGGCAGCGGGAGGTTGAAGCGCTGAGGGGAGCGGGGGACGGAAGGGCGGTTCCGCCGGGTTCTTTCCTCTTTCTCCCCGTTCCTTTGGGGTTTGTGCTCCCCGAGGGGCCTCACTTTGCTCCTCAGCCCTGCGGGTTGGCTCTGAGGCTGCGTTTTTGGGGTGTAGCACCTCAGAACGAGCTCCACAGGTCTGTGGCCGTGCCTATGGGCTGCCCAGGGTTCATCTTGCTTCTCTGCGGGTGGAAAACTAGCAAGGCAAAAGCTTGAGTGTTAATAGTATTGTGTTAATAGAGTGTTACAAGTATTGAGTGTTAATAGAGCCTTTTGTTGTTGCGACAGTAAAAGGAGTGAATGCCTTTATATAACGTAGCTATAAGCAGGAAAACAGAGGACGTAGTTACAGACGTACCCAAAGTGCAAAAGTCAAGTAAGTACTGAAAAACAAAATTGTCTTTTCCCCTTCTAACTCAGATTTTATGTACTTGCTGGACAGGATTTTTTGTGTGGTGAACAGCATTGCTGGTTGAGAATGCCAAGGATTCTTAGCCGAAGATACAGGAAGAGGATTTTAAGAGTGCAGGAGATCTGTGTGAATATGCTGCCAAGTAACAGCATTAGCAAACCAGCCGAAAGAGTATTAGTTACGGTCATTTAAAGACGAATTTGCATTAGAAAGTAAAGGCAGAGAATCGTAGGATTGCTTGGGTTTTTTTAAAGCTATCTCTTAGGCTTAAAATTATTTTGCTCCTTGGAAAGACTTACAACATATTTGTGATATACAGTGTGCATAAGAATGATGTTGCTTTTTCTAGGCTCTTCCTTACAAAAATAAATAATAGTATTAAACTTCGATTATAGTTAATGGATGCTGTTGGCTTCCTGTTTAATCGATAGATTGCTAAAATACCCAATTAACTCGACTCCTTACTAAGGTCTGTGTTTTTTTTAATCGAGTACCATATGTTCAATTTTGAACAGCTGGGGAGGAATGTTGACTTCTAAGATAAATGAGGACCTCCATCCTTTGGTATCAAGCCAGGAAGACCAGGGTTGCTAGGCTATTAAGGCTTTGGCATACTGAAGCTTTGGCAGTTTTCATCTGTGAAGAGGCAGCCCCTTGTGCCAGCCCTCTGTTGCCTGGTTTTGGTTTGCAGGATTTTATTCTTGAGAGGCTTCTGTTTCAAAACTCGTAATTGCAATTTGCAGGTGAGTGGAGGTATAGCTGTTGATTTTCCAGCTGCATTCTGGTCATTAGTAGGTGGTTCACAATTGCTAAATGAAATTAAACATTGCCAAATTGATTTGGAGTTGGTTCGTGCTGGGAGGTGTGACTTAACCAGTTTAATTAAGCTGCCTTTCTGAGTGAGCTTGGGATGTTTCCTGTTAATCAAAACTTCCACCTGTGTGAGTAATTACTTTTAAGCAGCACCCCCCAGAAGGATCAAATGAGACTGGATTGTTTTCAGAGACCTGGATACCCAATTACATTGTTCTATAGAAAAGATTAATTGTTTATATCTGTGGACAACAAAAACCTTCCTGGCTCCACAGAGCTTTAGGAGTGAGGGGAAAAATAATATATAAAATGGATAGTAAAGGATTTTATGACAGTTAATAGTGTCATGCATCCTCTCAAAGAAAAGCTGTTCACAAAGCAAGATGCTACTTAGCACATGAAACAGTTGTGTGACTTATGCAGATGTCTTTTTTGAACATGCCAGTTAGAAAATAAGCCTTAGAATTTAATATTAGAGCTTTTTACTCATTTCTGCAGCCAAGGGCTCATTCTAATCAGGTGACAATGGCACCATAATTCATTCTGTCATTTAACAGAGACAGCTATTCATCTCAGGATGGAAGAGTCAGTGCTGGATAAATTGCCATCTTTGTGCAGTACTCCAAAGGATTCTGGGGCACCACCTGCACAGGGGACCAGTTCAGGGAAACAGGTATGAAAACTTCTTACTTTTCCAACAATATGATTGTTCATAGTAACAGAAATGCTTGTGAAATGATCCAGGAGTCAGAAGTCACTGAGATGCTGCTTGCTGGAGACAGGCACCTTATCCCTCTAGCTAGGAGGCTGTGAAGGTAAGGAAGGTGCCTGGGGTACTTTGCTGTGAAAATGCAGATGCTTGCTGTGAATACAAAGTGATGGAGCAACATAACCCAATGTCATACTAATAAATTTAAATACTCTATAGGGTGTGTGGTGGATTTTTTGCTTTTTTCTTTTAACCTGTCATCTTCAGTTTTCTCAAATCCTGGTTTTCTGGGTTGCTGTGCTTGCAGGATGACTTTATGTGACTTCTGCCTGCAGTGGAACAAAGTACAATGCTTTCAGTTTGTATATTCTCTATAGTGCTGAGCTCTGCTTTGGTCTTATCCTGGGATGTGAAATGGTGATACTGTCACAGTCAGCATCCAGATCTCTGCAGGACAGGCCTGGTTTGAAAGTATTCCATAACTAATCCCTCACTCCCATATTTTAGTGCATTTCTATAAAGAAAAATGTTAGACACATTATAAAAAATAGTTATTTTGAAGAACAAAAAGTCTTTTTTGATGGTTGTGAAGTATCTCGAAGCATGAACAGGTCAAAATTATACAGGTATTTCTAATATATTCTAGAATACAGAACATACCTCCATTAAACCCTTACCTCCATTAAACTAGAGGGGAAATTGATAGCATATTTCAACTTGGCTAATTTTATTCTATATTTCTTTTACACAAACACTAGATGAGTAAGTTTGCCTCACTAGAATACAGGATTTTGTCCAAGAGAATGTGGAGCTGCACCTTTCCATATCTTGCAGCTGTGTGTGCAAATACATGTGAGAGGAAGAAATTGATTTTGTTCAAGTTTTTGAAGGCTATACAGAGAATTAGGAAGTCTGGCTTTACAATGATAGTTAAATATATTACACATTCTATGTAAATAATAATGATTGCTAAACAGTTATTTGAGATTTGATGAAAATTTAAGAATATCCTGAACACCTGGGTTTTCTGGGTTTATTTATTTTGTTTTTTAGCAAATGAGTGCAGCTCTGAGGGAACGACTAAGGAAAACAAGACGTTCATTTAATGCCAATTTTACAGTGGCAAAGCGGCTCAAAATAGACACTGAAGAAAAAGACACTGCTGGTGCTGTCACTGAGTGCTTGCCAGAGACCAGTGCAGACTGTTCCAGGTTACAAGATGGTTCTGAAAACCTGGAAGGAAATGGCACTGGAAGTACATGTTTCAAAAGTCCCTCACAGGAGAGTGATCCCTGTGGATCAGCAGAGAATTCAGATGTGATACAGGTTGGTCTTGGTCAGCAACAGTCCCTTGAAGAGAAAGTAAAGCTGGAGAAACAAGTGCAGGAGAAGGAAGAGCTGCTTCGTAGGCTCAAAATGGTGAAGATGTATCGATCCAAGGTGAGGCAATACTTAACTCACTGGTGATTTACTGTGGTGTTTGTGTATTGTCTCAGTTTAAGGCATTTTATAAAAATATTTGCAGGATATCAAAACCCCCTTTATATCAGCAGATGATGACTTTTTTTGTCTGTCCCAATTTCAGAACAACCTGTCTGAGCTGCAGGCTTTGATAGAGAAGTGGAGAAGTAGCACCCAGCTGATGCTGTATGAGCTGCAGTCGGCCTTTTCTGCAGATGGCAAGAAAGTGAGTCTCACTCAGCTCATCGACACGTTTGGGCTAGAAGACCAGTTACTGCACTACAGCAGAACAGAAGAAGATTTTGTAGATGCATAATCTACAGCTGCAGAGCTTTCTTTGCACAGGCACAAAAGCAGAAAAGACTGAATAGATTCTGATTGTGTCAGAAGTGTTGGTCAGACAATGGACTTTATGCTTTGGGGTTAGGAAGTTTTCTCCAGATACTTGTAAAGCTGTGTGCATACATACAGTAGGCACTGTAAAAGGCATTATTCAATGGAACAAAATCAAACTGATGATGTTTTGGAGAATCTGCCTTATTGACTTGGTCAGTGAATTTTTATTTAATAAAAATAAATTAAGTCATAGTTTAACAAGTAGAATGCAATTTTTTTTATTAGTCTCTGCATGGTTACTTGTATTGAAATAACTCAAATTGTCAATTCTGTTTATGTTCAGATGGGAATGAGTGCAGTTTGTTTATAGATACACCCATTTTACAAGTCTTCCTGGTGCTAATGACAGCATTTTGTGAGTTAAGTGAAGATAACTGATTTTCATGATGCTAATATTCCAGAGCTGAGATGTTTTCACTAGCTTTAACTCCTACTGAGGAAAATGTGTCATAATGCAGTTGCTTTCAGGTTCTGGTCCAGACAGTCTCTGCAGAGCTGCTGTCTCATAAGCAGTCTGCCACAGCCTGAGGTAATAGAAGGGAAGGCATAAAATTGAAACCAACTTTCTATTCTGCTGCATCTGAGAGCCAAGGTGTTTTCTCTCTTCAAATAAATAAGAAAAACAAGGCCTTGTTTAATGGGATTGCTTCAAATACAGCATCATAAAGCTGAATAAATCTTTACAATTCCATTTATTCTCCAACAAATGCCTTTTTTGAAAGTTGTTTTTATTTAACTTGAAATTGCTTATTTTCTCATCATGGTACCTTTTGTTTTTTATTTTCCCTAAACTCACTGTTTCTCAAGTGTAACAATACATAAATCTTAATGACTATACAACTTTCCCTGCTAGGAATCTTTTCTTATTGGTTCTACCCTACCTCTTTTGTTTGCAGGTGCTATATCCTATTTCCTTAATAAGGGAGTAATTTCTTAGACGGCTCAAGAGAAAGAAAATCAAAGATCTTACAGAACCTTTTAACCATTGGTAAGGCTCATTAGACTTCAGCCTGTACCTACACCTTGCTCTTGAGAATACTGACTCTTGCTGTCCAGAGAGAATTAATGCAGAACAGCCTTTATTGCAAATCACATTTTGAGTATTAAAGGACTATTTCTCTGCCTTTTTAGGCATGAGCAAAAAGATGGTGGTGCCTGGTGCAGGGGCCAGTTCTCCTCCCTGAAGTTGGAATGACGCTGCTTCTAGGGCAGTTTCAGCAGAAAGCAAAAGGTCTTGTAGTAAGCGAGATGTAATTAGAATCCTTACAAATCCCAGTTAGAGATGGCAAAGCAAAAAAACAGATGTACAGGATCACAACTGACATAGTAGAATTTTAAGCTAAGGTATCAAAGCTACAAGGAAATGGGTTTAGGTGTCATGTGACTTTATGAAAGGAGAAGGATTGACCCACACCATGGAGCAGGGAAATAAAAAGCAGGGACAATGCCTGAGAAGGTAGATCAGGCTCTAGCAGTAGGTAACTTTATCACAGGTCCTTTATTTTTCTTAGCAGTCATGGAAGGAGCTGGCAGGAAAATACACTACACCTCAGTGTAGAGGGGTGGGAGATGCCAGCAACTATTTCAGGAGGCCAGATGCTTCCAAACCTGGTTTCCCTGTTCTTCTGCCCATGGCAGCAGCCACAGTTCCTGCTGGCTGTGGGTGATTATACCACAATAAGGCACAGCTGCCTTTGGGCTGGGGCCAGGTTGGACACATGGTTGTTTTCTGTAATGAGCTGTATGGTTTATATACTAAAACCAGTAGAAATAAATCTTATCAACTGAAATATAATGCGGTTAAGACCAGGTGTAAAAAATACAAATCAGACAACCGTGCATCTTTCAAATGGAAGTTATTTAAAGGAATTACAGAAGAAAGAATTTGTGGGAAGAAAAGTTCAGGGAGAAGAATCAGCTGTCAAAGCTCTTTTCCCTTAGATAAGACCATGGTATTATTCATCTCTGATTTTTAAATAATATGGAGTGTTCTTGGATTCCAACTTTCAATTTCTGACTGAAGAACTGCAAGCTGTTTTTCCTGTTCCCTTATAAGGTTCCGTAGATATTTCTGCTTCACAATCTCTCGGTAACGCTGCCTTGTGATCTTTTCAGAAATATCCCGTGTGTCTGCAGAAAACAAAGTGTTAGTGTTAGCCTGTGCTCATAGGGGATGTGTGGTCTCTATGGGACCTGTCCTGGGGTTATCCAATTTTGTATAAATAGGCAAGCATTTAAAAAAAAGGCTCGCAGTTGGACTTAAAAGCCTTTTTAGTACTGAATAAAGCAAAATATTTCAAAAAGGCACTGGGCATGCTTTCTTTAGCTTTTACCAAGTACCCACTGTGTTGCAAATCTGTAACTGTTTTCCACTAGTGGAAAGATCTCTGTAAGTTTTCCTAATAGTGAATGCTATTCTTAGCTCCACATTACTTCCTCTGTTCTCTTGGAAGGGTGGAAAGAACCCCATCGAACAGCTCTCAGAAAAAAATGAAAGCATGTTGCCTAATGAAGTCATTGATGACAGTAATATTTTGACTTGGACATTTCCAGGAATTTAGCTAGCTTTGGTTCAAGAGCCACAAGAGTCTCCAGGTAACTCTTCAGTAACCATGGTAGGTTTTGGCAGGAAGGACTCTGCTCATTGTGCTCATACAGTAACAGACAGGCATTCCTTGCCCCTCAGCTGATGGTGGAGAACAGCACTGTCCAGCCTTGGATTTATTTTCTGAATGTTCTTTGCCTGTGCCTTAAGTGCCACTGGACTCACCAGCTGCCTCGAAGATGTGCATCCTTTCTGACACAGAGACAAGCATTTCCTTCAGCTGCAGGCTCAGCTCGTAGTTCTCCTGCTCTTTCAGACGGATGCACTTCTTCAGCTCTCTGACTTTTTTCTGATGGTTTTTCACATTCTTCTTGTGCAACTGTCCATTTTGAGATGAATAAAGAAAATATATGAGGTCATACAAAAACCATTCAGAAAAATTTATAATTATAAAAAGTTAAAATTTTAAGTACTGTGTTGTACCTTGATAAACTCTAATGTATGTTGAATTGACTAGTAGCACATCATAAGCTTTACTTTGGAAAGTGTCTTTCACACATGGTATCTCAGTTTATGGAGTTCTAATTTAAGGAGCAGCCAAGGAATAAAGAGGTATAGGCCAGGAAAAAAAAGATATTAAAGCTAAAACTTGAAAGGCAAATGGAGAAAAGGAAGTCCATGGAATCAGTGAGTTATGGACATGCTCTAAGCTGCTGAAGCTGATGGATGGACTGTAAAGGGACAAGATAAATACTAAATCTTGAAGAGGAAGAGGAAGCTGATGCCAACTAGCACAACTTGGAGAAAATCCAGTGAAATCACTTTAAAAAAAAAGGGCAGTCATAATTTGAATGATGAAATACATAAAGCAGCCAGCAAATCAGATTTTTGTGTCTCTTATTTTGAATACAAAGAGGAGGGATATTTTGAACAGGCTGGTGCTCCTGGAGAGAAATATTAAACAGTGAAAATGGAAAGAATGCTTCATTAGGAATGGAGGAGTGACTTTTATAGGCAGTGCTGTGTAAGAAATGATTAGCACATCTGCATTCAGATGTTCAGGATAGGAAAGTATTTCATTCCAGTAACAGAGCAAGAAGACAGGCTTCATCTCTGCAGCAATCCATGTGGGATGACTGCTTCCAAACACTAGAGAACTGCTGCTGTAGACAGCACAGCTTAACTTGAGGAAACTATTGAAAGCCAGATGACAAATACATGATATATCTATATTTATATCTATATATCTGTGTCTCTCAGATGTGGTGGTTCCCTTGGATTTACCTTATCCATGACACCGAGGGTCTGCTCCATCCCTGCCAGGTGCTGAGCAATGTGGGTGTCGTAGTTATGCACAGTTAGGAACTGAAGAAATAAAACCAGAAAAATTATCTTATGCATGTTCATTCTCAACAATTCCACCCTTTAATGAAGAAAATCATTGTGATGTGAAACTCAAAACACAGGAATTCTGCAGTGGTAAAGCTTACTAGTGATCATAAATGGACCTTGTAAGGATATGCTTGGATGCTGTGGGAGTGTACTAGACTGTGCAGCTGTTAAAAAGGATGTTACCTATTATATATTTGTAATGGAAACCAGGGCCAAACAAGTATGCTGAGGCTGTCAAAAACCCCAAGCTATGCTTTTGCTTGTAATCTAAGCTAACATAGCTGGAGGCCTAAGACACTCTGTCTTTAGGCTAGAGAAGAAAATTATTATTTTCTGTCTAGTGGCTTCCTAATCATTCTTACTTCTTTTATTGTTCTATTTGCATAGTAACTGACATATCCGAGAATTTATTGATTTTTTCCTTGAGCACACTGCTACTAAAATACCTCTTTATCAAATGACAAATGGTAAACCCCATAATGTTTTATGGATCTATAACAGACAGTAGACAGGTTTCTGTAGATATAGATTCATCTTTCCAGAGTACTGTCCCACCAAAGTGACAGGGAGAATCCTGTGACTGTTCTAGTTAGAGGAGAAGAAACAGGAAAGACCCAGAAGGGGCTCCTTGCCTACAGGATTAAACTTCTTTCACTCACTGCTTCATTAACAGCCCTCATTCCAAATCTTGCTCACACACATTTTTATAAGCCATCTTTCTTTCTATTCCTTTGTTGGGGTATCTGTTACCTTGTCTTTCCCACTAACCCCATATTTCTAATCAAAAAGTGACCTAAGTCAATTCCCTCAGGGCATTCAAATTGTGATTAAACTGTTAAATCCCTTTACTATGGGCAGTTTAACTCTCTGAAGGGCAAGAGCTCTGCTCATCAGTTTAATGAACTGAGCTAATGGCAACACTGGTGATAAATTTGCCACAAGAATTTTTCAATGCACTAACACAGCACCTCTTTGGAAAGCTGTTCTGGTGATTGGTGTTAGTTATGAAAGTCCTGTGGCTGTGATTCAGAACAAGCATTTTGTAGAGCAGCAATACAAATGAAGATTAAGCAAAACATATGTTTTGAATTTTCTTCTAATCCTTTGATTGAATTGCAATATCCTTACCTGCTGTCCAACCCTTTCCTTTTCCCCTGTGCTTTACAGCTGTCTCCACTGCTGTATCTTCAGCCTACCCATCCTTCAACATCCCAACTCCAAACCTTTATGCCACCCACATCATCAGCATATGACTGTGTTTTCCCTACAGTCTTCTACACCCCATACTGCAATACTCCCAGGCTTTCTCTACAACCTTTCTTCTTCCTCCTTTCTTCTCCCAGTGGTATCCTTGGCTGTGTCCCACAGCCTTTACCTCTTTTTCCTGACGTGCCAGCTGGGCTTGTTGGAAGCTGTGTAGGTGCTGACATGCTGCTGGCTGCCCCTCCTGCCTGCCGGGCAGGGCACAGCTCCCTGCTCTGCTGCTGGGCCAGCGAATGGCAGCGAGAGGGTGGGACACGCTGAGGCTCCCCCAGGAACCTCAGGCTCCGAGCAGAGCAGAGTTAAAAAATGCCTGTGCGATACCAGATGGGGGCACCTCAGACTTCCACTTAAAAAGGACTGCTCGATTTAAGAGATCTGTTCCTTGTGGCTGCAAAATTCTGGTTCCTTATTCAACGCCA